CATTGTCTAGTCGCTGTGGCTTTGTGTTGTAGCTACATAGTTGCTTAGTAATCCAGAATAATTAACTTATATTTACCGTTGGGTAATGTTCTAGCTTTAGATACACGAAATAGATTTGTCGTTGTTTTATAGACGCTTGAGCTGGCGCCGCCAGAACAAACTCCCAGATGATGAGAATCAGGGCTGAAATACATGTCGACAAACGCGCTCCACCCCCGGCAATGGAGCTGATTCATGTCAACAAAGATGATCCACCCCCACGCCGGAAGTGAAATCTCATATGTGGAGCTGAGGTAAGATCTCACACGTGGAGGCGCTGTGTGGGCGTTGTGCGAACGCCCTTAGGCTGTAAGGTATCGGCTCATTCTCCACTGCATTTCTTTAAGATTTCAATTAACTCACTTTGCGATTTACCTCATTGGCCTCGAGTCCCCCCTCAAGAACATCGGGCAGAACAAAACTAGCTTTAGTACTGCGTACTGGCTGCAAAAGACTTCGCTGTGCAAGTGAACCGGTGTGCATGCTCCTCTCTGGCTGCGCAAGTTGACGTGCCGCTGTGCAAGTGCTTCCCCGACTGTGCCCTGCATTCCAAGGTCCACGATGGTCCTGTTCACAATTCTTGACGGAGAAAACCCGGAGGCTCAACCTGCCGCAACATGAAACCCGGTGGAAGCTGGGGAGGACCAGCCCGCACTTCCTCCGAGGACGCCCTCGCCGGCCGCAGCAGCCCCATCAACGGAAGGGTCCGCTCCGCGCCGCCCGAATACTCGCCTCCCGTCTCATGCCGGGGCCCCTTTGCGTTGCCACGCCATGACTACGTCGGTGACATAGACGTCGATATGGTAGACATGAGCGGTGAACACAAGGAAGGGCCGGCTGAGAAGAAGGAGGACGTTCCCTAAAAAAAAACGCGTGCAAACGATGCCCACGCTAACGTCCCCACCCGTATTTCGAGGATCTAGGGCTCACGATAAGCAGGTGTTCATGAAGAAGTACGAAGCTTACTGTCACCAGCTCTTCGTCTTGGAAACAGCGTTCTTCCGGCCTTTCCATATGCCCGTGGGCGCATGCGTGGAAGACGAGCGCCGCCGTCGCATTGCGTTATTTGGCATCTGCAAGTCCCTCGACGACATCACGGAGGAAGACTGGATTGACTACTTCTGGGACTGGCGCTCATTGCCTTCGACAACGTGATGGCTCTAATGAGCGCCAAACTAGCCATGGATGTCCAGCTGGCGGACGCGGACTCGCGTGTGTCACAGCTTGCGCATGAGATGTACCAGATCCTCGAGAAAGAGAACATGGCATAGATGGTGGAGCGGGAGCCAAAGAAAGTTGTCGGCTACCTCACTGATGTCTTAACTCCTGACCAATTGCGGTGTACGGTTAAGAACGAGCTAGCGAGGGAATCAACAAGCCTCTCACCAAAAATGTTGTGACTTTTATCAAGTGGCTGAGTGTCAGGTGCAAGAATTATGTGCGGTGGGAACCTCGAACAAATACAAAGTCCACACCTGCAGTCAAGCAGCTAGTAAAGAAATCGGGTCCGCCCTACGCTAAGGCTGCTCCGACGAAGGCGGCTCCAGCAGCGCGCCGCAAACGAACCTGCCTGAAGTGTGGTAGCGAGGAGCATCGAGTGAAGGACTGTCCCCGTGTAGCTGCGGGAGAGGCTGAGCAGCTCCTGCGAGTGTGTCGTGAAAAGCGGGTTTCGACAGCCGCGGCGCCTGCTACACCAGTCCATCACGTCAAAGCTCTGCAACTTAACGAGG